CTGGCCAATGGAGCATCCGGGACTTCACTGCCTTTCAGGCACGGCGCGATATCGATTACCCAGAACCCACACCCTTTGCAACGTGTAGCGCAAAGGATTCCAAACACGTGTGTCAAAACTGGAGATCCATAGGATCCCTCTGAACCCCAACAGATCCAGCATGCAGACTGCACAGTACCATTGGATACATGACTAGTGCCATATACTAGCCAAGATTATTGTTGCTATATTTGACTCATTGGAGAGAAAGTCAAACAGATGCAGGCTGGTTCAAAAACGATAGCCCACTCAGCAGGCATCCGATTTCGACGGCATCGGAAGCCACCCAGCTGCGATTGTCGCAATCTGCCACCTCAGGATATATATGGCCCAATGGTTGTGATATATGTCAATGAAATCTCAAGATGTCTAAGACCCTCGCGCTGTCTCAATCCCACCAAAACGTGACCATCCAAGGGAAACGCCATTTTGCTTGTTGACCTCCATGCACGATCGATCGATCTATATCGGTTTTAGAATCGAGGATGTGGCATTTTTCCAAGACTGTGCATTCACAGTGCGTTTGCAGGTGGTGTCCTGATGGAGCTGGCCTTGATGTCAGCGCCGGACACATACTCATTCAAGGACTTGATGCGAGTGTCATCCACTTTTTGGATGTAGAATGCCCCATAGCGGTTGTACCTCATATCATTCCAGATTCATATTGGAAACATAGTGGATCGAGCCAAGCAAGCAATATAACACTGTTGAAGTTTTTCGTATGCTGAGGTCTGACGTGATTTTAGCTAGGCAGCCGACAGAACCTGAATAGAACACATCCTCTCGGCGTCACCTTTCTCAAAGGGAGGCTTCAACGAAAAGGACCTAGGCTGATAGGCAACAAGTTCTGGGCCGATTGGAAATATGCCTTCAAACAAAATTGATAGATCTTGATAATTCTCACATGAGGACACCACTTCTTCGTCTCCCACCCAGCAGGGGCATTGAAATGGTTCAGATCTCCGGCTCCAATAACGCCCTGCAGCTGGACCACGTAGTTGGAGTCCTGGCATGGGCGGGGTCACAAAGTCCCGTTGATCCCTGTGGCCTGTGGCATAGTTTGGACTACTGCGCGCTAAAGAAGGGGATGCGTGCACACACCTTTTACACATGTGCACCATTTTTTCAAAACCAAAGTGGTGACTTAGTAAGCGTCCAAATCGGGAAATTTACATCACCTGTACTAGCTAGCGCAACTGGTCTTGGCTGTCCTGCGCCTTGGGTCCATCCTCAATCTCGCCATCCTTAGCCTTTGCCATGTCCTCCTTGTTCTTGCGGCTCCGCTTGGACTGCGGGTGCGATGCACCCGCAGGACTGGTCCTCATTCTTTTGGTTGGAGTCATCCTGACTTTCTCACGGAGTTTTCGAATTTCCTTCTTCTCCGGAGATCGTGGCTGCGTTGGAGGCACCTCCTCTGCAGGAGTCTCGGCTGGCTTTGCGTTTGGATCAACTGGAATCGGTGCATCGATCTCCACCTTGTTCTTTTTTGCCCCTCGGCCACGACCACGGCCTCGACCTTTTCCACCTCCAGGCTTCGCGCGCTCCTCCTCAGCCTCAGCTTCATCACGCATTTTCTTGTCTGGATCCTCCTCATCATCTGCATCTGCTTCGCGAGCAGCACGGCGCAGAAGTCGCTGGGCCTGGCAAACAACTGATGAACATGGTCATGTAAATCATGTATATTATATTGCATTTTTTTTGATCAAAACTGATGCTATTTCAGACTGTCTATTTTTGACAAAGATTCTAACCCAGCCTTCAAGAGGTCAGCATCCTCTCCAGAGGATGCCTTCAGTTTTTTGGCTGCCTCTTCGGCTTCGAGTTCCAAGCTCTTGGGTGCCGCGTCTGCCAGCTCCGTCAGAGCAGCGCTATCCTTTCAGGGTTCTAGAATTTCAGCGTTCAAGAATCAAAGACGCTATCAATCTTTTTTCCTCACAAAAAGTAGATCGAATTTCAACTCAAAAGCCACAATGCAGGCCTTCAAGGCAACACTCCCATCGGTGTCATTCGGATCAACAAGTGGAGGATGCACATCCGGCTGCTCAATCTCCTCCTCCGCCTTCACTTCCGGAGCAGCCTCGTCGAAGTCTTCACACGTATGACCCTGAACAAATGTGGCATCCGGATCATCATCACTTTCATCACCATTCTCCAGCGCATCCGCACCAGTTGGCTCCTCTGACTCAGAGCCCTCACCAGCTTCCTGAACCTCCGCTTCTGGAAGATTCACATCCATGGGAAGGGTATCCACGTTGTCCATATTCACCTGCGCAGGCTCCATTCCCACAGTCTTGGACCATCGGACCATCGGTATCTACTTTAATTTGCATATGTGCACAAACACATGCAATCAAAACTGAATTCAAGATCCTTTCAAGTGCAAATTAATATAGTACAGTGATCCCAACCTGTTCAGCCCTTCTTCGCGCTGCACCAGGAGCATTGATCCCCCGAGTGGGACACTTTTTGCCACGATCATCGAGAAGTCCATGTGCCTGAGCAGCGAGTCGGAAGGGCTGGAGGACGGCTGCGGTGTTTCGAAACATGAACCTTTATAGAGGGAGCATTGATGAACCCCCACCATCAAGGCCTTGAGCCGATCTTCTGCAACCATCTTCAGGAATTCCATTTTGGAATGCCCGTGCCTGACAATATTATATATGCTTGGAACATTGTACTGTCAAACCTTGCTTGCTCTAATCAATATCAGGTATAAAATTAGGCTTGCTGGTTTAAGCCCGCCTTACTTTCCGTGTCCTCTGGAAGCGGGCTAGGACATAGGCCGGTAGTGATCGGTTCAGCCCTGCTTCGATGTGCGCCCAGGCCTCAAATCCAATTCGAGAACGCCAAGTTTCTGCGAATGTGAGTCTGAGCGATCCGACTCTGTGCTGAGCACGAGAAGTGAAGGAAGGGTTCATGGGCGGGTTGTCCAAGCTGAGTTGGAAAAGCACTTCCTGGAAAACAGTCATGTTAAGAAACGAAAGTTATAACACATATATGATGATACTAGGGCACGCAATCTACTTGATGAAGGTCCTCTATTTCGGAATCTGGTGGCATATTGTGCGCGAAACTCGCAAGAAACGCAACAGTAAAGTGGTAGTTGGTCTCCAGCTCAGCCTGCCAGCACAGAGTTGGGCAGTTGGATACTAGTAGCTTGCTTTGTGGCCTCATCCTCACCAACTTTGCCCGTAGATAGGTTCACAAAGCTGAATACCTCAGGCGCAAGAGCACATGGGGAAACAATAGAACAATTCGAAGGCCACTCACTTGGCCAGCAATGATGCAAAACAAGTTGTGTGAGTCTAGTGGCGTTTCCTGATCTAGATCCGTTAGAACTCTTCATTTCCTTGATTTCCTTCCACCTCGCATTGATGGATTTCGGCTTGGGGGAGATGAAGTCATCATAGAAAGCCTCCCAAAACGTTGTTAAACGTGTTTTGAGCAAACCTGCACGCATCGAAAACATCAATCAACTGTTTTCAGAAAAGGCATGCATGGGCAGGCCTTCAAAAGGTTCATGCGTTCAGGGTCCATCCTAGCCCTACGTCCAGGCATCAACAGATTGCACGACGCGAGTTCCAAACAGGGCCAAAGGGGCTACCCAGAAATCAGCACGTATATCCAGGAAAAAAAACTCACCTTCTGAAGTTGAAATTAAAAAGGACTGCAAAGGCATGCGATGGGCGCACAGGTTTCCTCATCCTCATCCGCCAGGGCCTCTAATAGATCAGAGTTGTGGCCTGAGAAAGGCCACCGGCCATATCTTATTTTATCTCGATCAGTTGAGCGAGGGTATTCGATATCGTGTTTTCCACATACTAGCTACTAGGTATCAGGCCCACCGCAACTCTGCTGCTCATAGATCTCTTCGGCCTTTGTTGGGTATGCGTACAAACTTCAACCAAAGCCCTTGTGCATGTAGAACAATGCAGTCTTTCTACTCAGTGCAACTGGGCATCATTGCAAATATGATCGCCCAAATGAAGAAGAATACTCCCATGGCTTACATCATCCTGAGCAGGTGGATGTGGCCACCATGACTCCCTGCGTGTACTGCTAGCTTGCAAGGACCATCAAAAAAGCTGATGCGCGAGCACTAACTCAATCCGAGGTTCGTTTGGATTTGCGCCAGGATCAGGGATGAGTCGGAAGCCAAAACTACAGATCGAGGTCCATTAGACTACTCAACACCTGATCTGAGTCCTGGGAACCTCAAAATCCATGGTTTGGTAGCTGCCCACGCTATACAATAGTCTTGAGGCCAAGACCGTTTCTGAAATAGTCTTTGAAGGGTAGGGTCTATATAATTGCCTCTAAAGTAGTACTAGGAGTGATCGCGGAGTAAAAGCTTACAGTATATACTTCTAGCCAATATTGCCAATGATTGTTCAATAATAAAACAACCTTAATTGGATTTAATTGATGATACCGTGAATCACCCGTGAATGACCATGAACAAACCCTGATTAGAGACTAGTTAAGCTTGATTAGAGACTACAGAAGTTAAACTTGATTGGAGACTGTGAAACACGGGTGAACCACCATGTCGGCTGCGATGATCAAAGGAAGTGTACCAAAAGTGATCGGAGGGTGTGCAGAGTCATGCAGTGAAAGTCCTTCTTCTTTTGTACAGATGTGTACTCGTTAAACCGGTCTCCCGGGTTCGCAGGGTTACATATACTTCATATGAAGTTCACACCGCCAACATGTCCAAAGCCCTTTTTCAATCAAACATCATTCTCAACATTGATCGATGCATACCCCCCACTGTCCAACATAGACATGTGCAAAACCCCCGTTTTCTACAACATCAAACACAACATATATCATAGGTCAAAACCAATACGGAGGCAGCCAACACAGATGTACAGTAAGTACACAACACACCTTGGCTCTTGAGCTCCGAGCCTCCCAACATTGAAAAAAAACAGAAAACACCCTTCTCGCTCTGACTCCGCCTGCAAGCGAGGGAAGGCCAATGCCTGGTCTTCCATGCAAGCAGCATCTTGGATCTCAACGACCAGCATGTACTCCTGAGTGGGCCACGACTGGTCCGTCCTGAAACGGGGAAGGTAGAGCCTACGGCTAGGGCCTGACTGGGCACACTGAGGTACTATACAAACTTTATTGGCCAAAACTTGGACCTACCAGCAGCTTCTTTTGTAGGGTCATCAATGGAAGCCGCTACACTACTTATGGATCTCCAGTCAGGACAACCCCTTTGATGGTGCAGGTGTAGATATGATATAGCCAGGATCCGTAGGGCTCCAAGTACCATCAACTACCTCTGTTTGAACTCTTAGGGCCTTTGGATGGACCTGTCTGATGTGCGGTGACAGGGCGACGTCGCTTCACACCGGCACCGTCGGGTGAGACTGGACCCTCAGTCCCAAGGACTGGGTGCTCCGTGACTTTCATGGATGACCAACGGGCGAAGTGCTCGAAGCCGAAGCGTGTGCTACCCGGAGGCCAAGTATTCCACAAGGCCAGCCTCAATGCAAATGCCATCCATGCCTGGCGAGGGAAGGGGTTGCCCTCATCCAAAGTCACTGCCAATGGTTGACGGTTTTCATTTTCAGGAATCACTCCCTCCACCTCAAAAGGACCAGTTTTACGAGGTCCTGCTGTAAACGACTTGTAAAACGAGGCCTTTGACTTGGAGGGACTGGTACGTGTTGTGAATCCACTGGGACTGCCGAAGCCACAGCGCCAAGCAGTCGCCATGCATCCAGAGGGCCAAGCTGCTCAATATCTTTGGAGAGCAATGAACATTGTTCTCCACGGTCAAGCAAAAACCAACCCCTCTGTAAATGCAAATGGTCTGCCAGGGCATCCTGTTTTGAGGGATCTTGAAACATTATACCAGGTTAAAGGTCAGGGACTTGGTTCGCTGGCCAGCAATTTCCCACTGATACATAGATGAAAAACAACAACGCCCGAGTCAGCTCCAGATTCTAAATGCCATTCTTTTTGCTGCAGCTCAAGTCAGTCTTGGGTCCAAACTATATAACGGTTCTCTTAAAGAAACACACCAAACCTTTCTCCCTGAACCCGACTTCATGTACCTTAGAAATAGCACATGTCACATGACGCGATAAGAACAGGCATAGACTTGTATGTACTTGTCCCTATTCTTCACGGTTCTGCCATACTTGAAGACTACAGGTCTATCCCCGCCGCGGGGTGGCAAAGCAGAGCATGTCTGGGCCACAGACTCGACCACGTCGCTACTTCCGCCCATCCCGACGTCGGATGCTTTCGTTGGTGAAACAACACGGAGCCGTGACTGGCAGTCGACCTGTTTGTATCACTGGAAGTCGACAGCTCGGTGTACGGTGTCATGAGCTATTTTCATTATTTTCCAAAGTTGGATGGGTGTCATGACCTAGACCCTCCCTGAAACAATCATGGAATACAGCCTGTTCATAGAGGAATTCCGTCTTCCTTTCGGGGCCTTGTTCCAGTTCCATGTTTGTTGGACGGAGGGTAGCACTTCTTTTCATAGAGCCGTGCAGGTACCACTCGACCTGTGCGCCACCACCGTGCACCGGTGGACGCGAACGACGCGAGGACCGGGTACAGGGCCTGAATCGTCCTGCTCGAAGGCGGGCCAGCGAGTTCGGCAGTTGCAGTATTCAAGACCACAGGCCTCCTGAAACACAGCGGTGGAGGGGAGGTAGAAGGGTACTGTCTGTTCTTCCCTCCCTGGAAACCGATTCCCAAATCTTCCAAGATGGGTCTAAACAGGAGCCTCATCTTAGAGAGGAACAGCTTGGTCAGCTTCATCTAATGTATCAATTCTAGACCCCGAAAAGAGAAATCCACGGATCCACCGGTACCTCAGGTACCACGAACTGACGGCCTGCGACAGTACCTGACGGCGCCGGACGCCCGGCGCCACGTCGTGTCGAACACCGAAACCGATTGGTGTCGAACACAGTGGATCGAGAGCACAGCTCCTTCCCTGAAACATCGGATTCTAAGGTGTGGCGAGTGGGACGCACAGCTCTTCAGCCCATCCAACTTCTGAAAAAAAAAACAAACATCCTTAGTTGGGATCAGTGAGCCAACTGAAGCAAGTCCTTCAGCGCTTTTTTCGCCATCTTGTTCACCCTGCGAACCTCCCCGAACCAACCTTTTTTCCCCACCGTTTTTGGCGCGCCTTCCAAAAGTTCAAGTTCCAGTGCCGCCACACCGGCTCTTGCCCGCGCTTGGGCACCAGAGTCACCGGTGTAGCGTTCCGGAGCGACGGCTCGCGCTCACCGGCGTAGCCGTTGGAGACGTGGGAGACGGTGGGAGCAGCGCGCACGCGTGGAACTGGGCTGCAGGAGGCAATCTGAGGCAACGTACAAAAGTTGGACCTCTGCTGCCTGGCGTGAAGCACTGATGTGCGGCACTGATCTTGACCTCTTGACATCTCTTGACAATGAATCAAGAGTCAAATCATGCATGCCGCCGACCCTGAAGAAACACCCTGGAATGGATGAAACGGAAGTAAAAGGCGGTTCAATTGTTGTATGAGTATTCCTCTGCATCTCTAAAATGAAGCTCAGAATCTGATACAGGGAATTCAACCCTCACGCCACCCTTTTCAAGCAATTCGAACTCCCAGAGCCTGTGCTTGCAATAGGAGAGATACCTGAGACAAGAGAGGATCTCAACCCCCATGCCGACCACCCTTGAACCAAGCTGAACTGTTTAGCTGTGCCATGTGCAAGGTGTTACCGGGCTTGTTGAGCTGCACAAAAACTGTCTCACAATTGAGATCACCGCGAGGTGTCTATTAACTTGCCCCTTATAGAGGGGCTCAGGTTATAGGTACATAGATAGTTCAGACTGGGACTCATGGATCTCTCAAATGGATTGCACACCCGTTGCCCCAACTAATTAGTGCGGCTCGGTCATGCATCGCTTCAACTTCTACTGCGCTCTGCGCTCGGTCATGCGCACCGAGTCAAACCGAGATTCCAACGAGTCATCCCTACAGGTTTGGAAAAGGTTCCAAAACAATCTCCTTCATATGGACTCTTGAGGTAGATAAACCGACCCTTTTGAATTGGACATCCTCTGAAATACATGGGGGGTTTATTAATCAAACGTCTACATCACAGCCCCAAACACTCCATGTATATCATGTTTACCTACATTGGGGTGGTTGACCTGGAGTCAATGTATGTCAATATGCCAGTCCCATTAGTCGTGTCTGGGAGCCTGATTTCCGTCCATGTTTCATCACCGTCCACCACCGTCGCCGGAATCCCGTCCAAGCGGCTCCAGCGTAGCTTCTTCGACCTTAAACTCAGCCAGTTTCAACCTGACAAAGCATGGCTGGGCACAGGACCGCTTTTCGATCGATGGCTGGAGAGATGGTTGGGGAGATGTGTAAAGTGTTATTTGAAGAGTCATCCTCACTTTGAATACGATAGATGCAGAATGATGCACATAATCTAACATAATCTAACCATGTTTCCACATCGGAGCTTGCCGTCTTCTACTCGTTTACCCGCCTGGCTTTGGTCAGCAGGCCACAGTTCACTGGGGGCTTCTTCTCCCCGTTCTCACTCAGGTCCTTGCACAAGCGAGGTCGCAAGATGTCACAAGTCGAGCTGCTCAATAAAACAAGCATATGCAGCACATGGCGGAGACCCGCGTAGTCTGGGTCTGTTGCCATGAACTCAACCCCAGACTATCAGACTATATGTTTCCAAAGTGGATTATGGAAATTGCTAGTCCTGGAATCCACCCAATCCGCGCAAATTTACAAGGTAAAACATCTAAAGGCCAAACATGCCGAGTGACTTTGACCAACACACCAATAATTGCCTTCTGAAACATGCCCAAACGGCTTTCCCCACCAACACGGAGTGAACATGAACAAAACACACCGTGTTTTCTGCACCTGCACTGCTTGCCTGCCCGGCCCGCTCGTGTTGGCGTAAGCCCGGTCCGTGGGTTTTCGGCTCCCATTGCTGGCCAAGAAGGTCTCGAGCTCGGCCTCCCGAGTCGCGGCTCGTCGCCACGCGCGCACGTGGAATACGCACGTAGGTCGGGTCGGTAGATCGGCGTTGAGGCCTCCTTCTTGAGTCCAAATGCAATGAATGAATGATGCCTTCACTGGACTCTATAAAGACTTTCTTGTTCTTTTTTGGATTTTGAAGGGAAGGTTGCAAAACCCGAACCTGAGGATTTGCTTGACACACGAGCCCTAGGGAATTATAAGCCCTAAGAAGCCTCATTGTGCTTACATCTTTGCAGACTTCAGGACCTGATAGAAAGCCTTTCCGTCGCTTCCAGTCCGGATTCTTAGGGTTTTAACCACAACGGTTCCAGTTCGATCCCAGTCGCCTGGGTTCGCCTGGATGTCGCCTGTATTGAGGATCGTCGAATTTTTTTTCAGGATCCCACATGCATTGAGATGAGTATCAACGGCACTGGGAGGACAAGTACTTTTTGGAGATGGGCGTCCGCAAGTATCTTTAGTGTTAGTGTCTGTTAGTGCAAAGCAGCCATCTTCTCATCATCTTCTTTGGTCTACTACCATGGTCTACCTCTTTCTCATATGCCTGGCTTGGCTTTTGTGGGTTCCACTGGGAGTGTGGACGCCTCAGGTGCGGCACTGCAAAGAAGGAAAACAGAAAACCAATCCAGCTGTATAGGACAAAATGGTCGCTCGGGGGGGAGAGTGGCCTTTGAGTTCTTTTAATAGTTGTGGTGATTTATGACACAAGGTGTGGGTCAAGAAAGCCAAGTTCCCTGCAAAACTCCTGATCTACAGGATGAGTCCTTGCGAGCCTGCCAAGATTTGCAGCGACCGTTGATACGTCACCAAGTGCTGTAGTAGTGCACATGCTTTGTGCACATGCTTTGTCCTTGCTTCGGTCACAGGGCCAGGCCACTTGAAGGGTTCGGTCTGAGTTCACCCGTGACTGGGCCGTTTCCTCCGTTTCGCTTCGGCCAGGGGTGGGTGTGCCCATGGAAGGTCGACGTGCCCCACCTTCTCAGCTTAGACAGGAACCCAAACAGGTACAAACATCAGGATGTGACTCCGATCTCCATATCTCTTCTCACCTCACTCGGCCGCCTGACTTCCTCCCAACATGACTCACGTGGAGTCCAAAGCCTCGCCTCAGTCCAAAGCCTCGCCTCGGGTGGCAACGCTCCTGCGCCGTGAAACAGCGTATGCGCTGGTGCGTTGGCGACAGGCCTTTGGTGAAGTTGTTGCCAGGGATGGCATGTGCCATATTGTGTGCTATTATTTAATGTATGTTGCTTCCAAAAGAGGATGTATGTGGTTGGAATGTCGTTGGAGCTCAACTGGACATTAAATGTTGCGCTGGTATATCAACCCCATCTAACCCCTATAAAGTGAATATTGGATCATAGGCACCCGGAACTCTTCCGTATGGAACTCCTGGATCTTTTGTCTCTTTACTAAGAAACCAGATGTCAGATCTTCCAGATCTTTTTCATCTTTCTTCAAGGAATTCAGACTTCAGATCCTTGGACTTCCTTCGACCACCGGGCAAGGAGAGGCTCGGTCGATTGGCTCGGTGCCGGCGAGATCCACTGCCGCTCCGTGCAGGTCAAGATGGTAAGGATACCTATAACCGACCTCTGTTGTCATAGGAGCCGGGTCATATTTTGCTTGGCTGGCTGGCTGTCTGACTGGCTGGCTGGTTGGTTGGTTGGTTGGTTGGTTGCTGTCCAAAATAGATCATTCACGTTCTATTATATAACATTATATTATATAACATATATACCTAGATCACTACCTAGATCATCTTTACCTACACAGTACGTTCATCTATTCACCGGGTTCGTGTGGAAGGGGGCAACAGTTCATTGGCCGTCTGGAAGAGAGGCCATCGGGATCCAGGTGTCAGTTTGGACCCAGGCGGGGTAGCACCGTGACCGACGCAGAGTGTGGGATGATGTTCACATAGAACCAACCATCATTCTACCCCATTTGTGTGTGTGTGTCCGATGCACCTACTTAACCATGACAGTTAAACAATAAAACTATATATTATATACTATATCGAACGGTTCGAGGACACTACTCAATACAACGGGATGTTTCAAAGGACAAGGATAAGCTCAATACCTGCACTACCTCTACCAAACTCAACAGGAACATGCACTACAGCGTGTTTACACACTTGACACTTGTTAGACCTTTGTTTCCAGTCCCTTTTCGAAAAGGGAAAAACAACACCATGCGTCGAGGGACGACCTTCGGCGTTCCACGCGTCTCCCGGGTCTTCTTCGCCGGCTCCTTTAAAGCGCGGATACTTCCGAAGCAAGTCCTCTGCTCCGTCGTCTCTGGAGGGATTGGAATGGCTTAAGCCAGACCGGAAGACCGATCGATCTGCATTAGGCAATCATGTTCACTCGCCCAACTTTAATTCCAGCAAAGGTATCCCTATATAGGTATCCCTGTAGGGTCCTAGTTCAGGTCACTTAACCTCTGTTGGTATAGCCACACCAAAGTCTGCACCAAAAGAAGTTCGTTCTGCCGATCAATTGGACCCCCTTCTCTGATCGGTTTCCGTCCCCAACCCTCAGATCGGTCATGCCACGCGGAACAGGATGCGGTTCCAGGGCGGGACTCGGGTTCCGCGCCCAGTTGGCCGGTTGGCCGGTGAAAACGGTCATACAGTGATGTCTTCGAATCGACCTGTTATAGAGTATCAAATATAGATATGAGTCCAAAAAGAACTGTCTCCGGCTCTCAGTCAAGGTGTCTATCTCTATGCCTATCCAGCCAATGGACTGCTCGTTTCATGACTGACGCAGCATTTGATGTTCAAGCTAATGGTCCAATGGTCATGCCATGTCCAAGACTTGGATGGGACAACATGCCATGAACATCCGTCAGGTGGGGCGCTGATCCAGAGCACCTGCACATCCTCGGACTCGTTGGAGGTCTCTAAAGACAAACCATATCTTGGGATTGCGGCGACAGTCAGGTGCCACAAGATCCTCCACGATTGAAAAGGGATAGTCCGCTTGAAAAAGAAGAGGCGTCTCCAAAAGTCTTGGAACACGAATTGGATGACATGAAAATCAAACACAGCGTTTCCCAACCCTTTCCATTTGAGGGCCACTTCTTTCTTTTGGGTCAAAGGAACACCCACCATTGCTAAGAAAGACCTGATAAGCCGTGAGTGTCAGGCGGATCACCGGGAGCGTTCGGGAGCACGAGTGAGTGTCAGCGCTCCTCGACCTCGTTCTCTTCCAACAAGGGCCCACCCAGGATGCTCATCTGGACGCTGCGGCAGAAGCGGCAGAAACAGGCCCTTTTTGGGGATCCAAGATCATCCAGTCGTACCTCCTTAGGGGTGTATGGACTCCTCAGGCCAACAGAAACATGTCTCCAACTACCCTCTTTCGAAGGCATATGGATCCATAGGGAGTGTAGCGGAAGCGAGTGTTTCATTTTGTTCCTCCCGGAATATGCTCCTCTATCCGCTGAAGGATGTGAAGGGAGTGCACCTGTCGACTGATTGATTAGAAATCATCCTGGAGTGTAAAACCTCTTCTACCTGGACCTTCAAGGGGTGTCCAATGGAAGTCCCTTAGAGGTGTAGGGGCTTCCATTGGGCACCCGCACCCCTTGGAAGCAGCTGGTATGTGGGGAGTTTGATGAATCGAGTCTACAATTCGGTATGTGGAGTCATGCGGAGTCCATACCCTTTTTGAGGACATGCTTTGGATCTGCAAGGCCTCCAAGTTGGGGGCCTTAACACACAACAAACATGTTCAAACCCCGCAAAACCCGCCCTGGAAAGACTCCGAAACAACAGAACAATCGAAAACAAACGGAGAATCTTCCATGACACTTCGACGGTTTCATCCCACCCATCCCCAACATATTGGGGTGGTGTTTAGAGGCGAATGTATGTATGCCATACATGGAGTGTATATGAGTGTATGGGATGGGTACTTCCTCACACTCCTCGTGGTGAACCCGCACGGTGCGAACTGGGCCTTTCTCGTGGAGGCTTCAGGAGGAACTCGGTGTCACCTGGAGGCGACAGACCGACCCCATAACTGGACCTGGTGTACTGACCGACCCATTTGGACTCCAATTTCAAGAGGCAAACGATCCCATGGAACCTGAGGGTGGAAGACTCAGACCATTTTCCGAAGACCAAGTGGGCGTGGTGAACTGGGCCTTCGTCCAATTAGCAGGGGAGACTACAAAAGAAAGGTCTTGAAGGGGGGCCTGCAAGGGAATGTCCTTTACTTCACCAAGGACAAGTCTTTGCACGGAAATGCTCGATGTCCCGCACACCAACTCCAAAGTTCCAAGATCATCTTTCAGAGCAACCGATCGTAGTTGAGTTTCTGAAGGGTGCAGCACAATGCCCTTTTGTAGAATCCAAAACGCAAGGCAACTCCGGGTAGTTCCGTTTTCCGTATGGCCACGCATACGTAACTCGCAAAGGAGTTGTCTGCGCGAAAGAATCAAGCCCTTGGGACAAGCCCTTGGTACTCATCAGTGTGTCAGGCACGAAGGCCTTCGAAGCTGCATGGGAGCTTCAAGTACAGTATATAGATACTGTATATGCACGTATTACATGACCTATAGGATTCCAACCACCATTGTTTTAAGGGTTCCTGAACAACCGGTACTGTTTGACTACAAATCCAGGTTAATCATGTTGAAAATGGTGGATCGGAACGCTTGGGTGGTATATTCGAATTAACCAAGCCCGGGGGGGCCGTAACGCAACTCTCAACGGAGTTGCTACACGCAAAAAGATGCGCTTCAACTTGAAGGACGGACCTTCTCATCAGAAAAGAGGTCCACCATTCCTCACTCCGCATGGATGAACATAGATGAACAATGTTTTGAGCTTTGCAAGACCTAAACTTAAACAGAAATACATCCTTGTTTAGCCAAAAAACGGAGTGTAGCTTGAACACTAAAGTTTATTCGAGCAGCCGACGGATTCCCTTGAGACTCCTTCGACCAGAGCGTCAGTTCAAAATGTTCCAAATGGCTGCCAAAGCATGCCAAAACAAATTATTCCTGGCATTTCACGTTCGTCGATATAGGACGATATCACTGGGGCATATGAGCGCCTGCCAAAACAAAGGACATGATTCAGCGGGGCTTTTCGTTTTCAGGGGTGCCTGTCGCTTTTGCAGGTTTTAGCCCAATTCCTGAGATTCACGACCGTTCTTTACTAAATTAGTCATTGCATGTCATTGCATGGCGGTTGCTCATGGGCCCTAATACGCTAGCAAGGGTCCTCAACAACTCCTCAAGTTGGACATCCCTCTTCACTTCACCAACCGGCCAACCGCGGCCAACCGGTATATGCCGGTGCCGTCATACCATGGCGGACTGAGTGTTCTCACCGCCGGTCTCGGGCGGTGCCGATGAGAGCGCGGTCTGCGCGGTCTTCTCAGCGGAAAAGCTGGTCTGGCTCCTGCTTCGCAGGTCTGGGTCTGGGACGGATCCACTTAGTTTTTGGGTCTGTCTTAGGAAACCTGCGGTCTGGCTCGGGTTCGGTTCCACAAGCAAATCACTATTTTACTGATGTCGTCGTACAGCTGAACCATCATCATCCACTGTTGCTGGTTATAGGAGATACATGGAGATACACTTTGACTCACTGACATGGAAGTGAAACAGTTTGTATGGAGGAAAGTCGTCTTCCAAGGAACAATTTTCCACTTCCATGTTAAGTTAGTAAGTCAGAACATACCCAACATATATGCCGTTGCTCTGACCAAGTCACCCAGTCACATTCCTCCTTGACGGCCCGATGGAACATCAGTTGGACAACCCACACGAGGATGAACGAAAGTACACTCCCACAGGAGCGGCGAGTTGATTGAAGGGTATGATATAGTCTATAGTGGTTGACGGGCATTCCCATGTGTGCATGGAGAGGTTGGTGATGATGACATGATCATATCAGAACCAGCTTGGAAGACCGTCCTGGTTGTGCGTTGCCCGGTGGCGATACGCTTGGAGGAACTCTTACGCATGCCATCTCCGACCGCCATGTTCAAGTCATCCGCCAAGATGTTGATGGCTCGCATGATGGTGCCAATGTCATAGACTGAGAGCTTGCCCAGGTCAGCAATAAATTGCTTATCTTTGCCCAGTCCATCCTTTTTCACAGGGGCCATGTGTAAACCCTTTAAAATTGAACGAAAACAGAGTTCCAAATGGATTCCCGGAGAATGAGCACCCCCTAGCAGGCAAACACCCCGACGAACTGCTGGATCAGAAAACCACCTGCTGGATCAGGCCATGCTCACCACAAACCAAAACTCCCAAGACAGTGGCGTTTTTCATCTTCTCAAAGGCTGAGCGTCTTCCTTGAGGAAGGTGGCCACATCCAAGAGGGACTGAAAGACATCTTTCTCCTAAAGAGTGGACTCTTGTGAGGACAGAAAAGGGATGTATTTCATGTCCAGCCCAAGCTAGGTGCGAAGGTTCAGGCCCGCACAAAAGAAACAAACAAACAAACAAACACCCTCCCATCTGTAGGCACCCATTTCTAGGCCTTGAACCCTTCAAAATCTGATGATCTTCGTCCGGGTGGGGGAACTTGCTTCATCCCTTGCAGCTCCTCTGGCACCTTCCCAAGGTTCATGATACGGAGTTCCTTGGAGCTTCCCAAGGCCGAGCGATAGCAAAGCGCACACAGGCCGAGCGTGACCATTCCTGCCAGGATCACGACCATCAGCGACGAAATCACCGTGCCGAAGATGGCCAGAACACGTGCTGCGTCTTCCCCACTGCTGTCGGCATATCCCAGCGACCCGGCCAAGAGCATGACGAGAAGTGACACTGACAATCCGTCCACGAAGTTGAGGATTGGAGATTTCCAAGGCAAGAACCACAGCTGAAGGCAAAGAGATCCAAGCAAGATCATGTGCATCAAGGTGAGCTGCAAGCTGGGCATGTTGGTTGCAATGACCCCTGGCATCGACAGCAAGGGTCCTCGGGCCAAGAGGACCAAGCCGAAATACCAAACATTGGGCCTGAAGCGGAAGATCAAGAAGCGAATCGCTGCCAGCCTGAACAACTGAACGATCAGGAAACACATTATCTGAAAGTGCATTTCACAGGCGTCAGGTTTTCAAGAATCTACACACACCACGTTGGACAGTTTGTGTTCTTTTTTCTCAAGCAAGTACTCCATAGTGCTCCAGCAATGCAGCAGCTGAGTACATCGTGATTTCTGGCGAAAGGGAAGCACTTGAATTTAGGCCACACCAACTGAGTACATCATCCAGGCCAACACATGCAAAGTTTTTGACCTGAAGTTGCCTGCCAAATCTTATAGCTATAACTACAAGCTTAACTTTTGAATATAGTTGTAATGGTTTAATATGTGTTTAGACGTTCATCATAACATATTCCACTTTCTCGGGTACAAGCTGCAAGGTCCAAATGACTGCTTGAGAAGAACCTCTTCGCAGCATTTGGAAACCATCAACCTGATTGGCGCCAGGGCCTCTCCAGAAAGCTTCTGAGGAGTCGCAGGGCTCTCTGCTTGAAACCGGGTCGGGCACCTCTTCCGACTTCTGAAAATCACTTGTTTCATGCACTGTGTTTGGCAAGTGCCTCAGGTTGAGTTTAGTCATTCTTGCGAACATGTTTATAAATTATTCTGAAGGATCGCTATTAGGATTATTAGGTAGCGTCCTTTCTTACAAGTAGCTTCTTGTTCCTATAGTAGTATGGCCAGGAGCCCCTAGTAGCGTCCTTGCTCCTAGTAGCGATGCCAGGAGCCCCTAGTACAGTAGCGTCCTTGTTACTCATAAGTTTATAAACTCTTCACACTGTAGCAACATGTAATTAGCGACATTGAACAGATCGCTGCTTCCCCAACTGGACGGACTACGTTTTGGAGCAATCCGTATCGCGAACGGCATGCGGCCTACGCTGGGTTCGGTTCGGGAAATAGACCAGGCAGGGCTGAGACGTTGGGTGTATCTCTCTATTAAAATATCACCACCCAGATCGTCTTTCGGAAATTGGAAACATGGCATCATGGTGTTCTGAATTCTCCAACTTCAGCTCCTAAGTCTCTTGAACGCCCCAGCCTGGGTTTGCCGGACCACCTGGGTGCTTGATAGGCGGCGTAGCAGGCTGCGATGAAGAAGCTGAAGGCCAAGAAGATGACCAAGGCACCAAAGCCCCGCATGATCCACTGAGACAGGCGAGGAGCGGATTTGACAGCCGACTCCCAGATGGAACATGGTGGAACAGTTGCTTTGGGTTGCTTGGCGTTCCGTAAGTGGCAACTCCTTGGGGTGAGATGAATCATGATGAATCATGTCAGACAAGGGTCAATGAGTCAACGGATCGTTGACCATTCTATTTGTTTGTTGGTAGTGTTGGATGCTGGACCATGCCCGCTCCTCACCAACAGTGTTGAGCAACCATGAGGTTCTCGTGCCCAGTCTCAAAACAGAGATCTATAGGGTGAGAGTGGCAGCACATGCGAGCCGTAGCAGTGTTAAGGCATCTTGTGCTAAACTTTTGTTTGAACTATTGGTAGTTTGCAAAACAAACTCGAACTGAAAACCTTGCTTCTGAACGACCAAATCACGTGCTCGGCTGTTCCACAGAAGACATTGGGATACTTCAAAATACTCTGTTCATTGGTTGGGTGTCGATAGCACATGAACGGCATGAGGCCAACGTTGCACATCGTCGTGAAGCCTACCTGCAAGAACTGTCCCGTGGTGCTGATGGTCTTATTCTTCTCCCATGCAAGGCTTCGGCGCTTCAGAATGGGAATGAAGTTCGTCAGCAAACCCACGGTGGGTAAGGCCACGGTGACGATCCAAAAGAAGGACGCCGTGCTGACATATCGCGCCACGTTGCCACCTGCAGCACAACTCAAGCCAAGAGCATCAAGGTTGAAGGTGAAGACTGAAGCAAAGTTCAGGAGGTCTCGTAAGCCGGCTGGCCATTCAACGGCAACTGTGTTCAAAACACCAAGGTTTTGAAACAAGGCGATCAACATTCCCAAAGCAGCCGTAGTGGACATCATCACGCTGGCTTTCGCAGTATAGCTGCTTGTCAGCATGTAATATGAGCCACAAACTCCGATCACAACGAAGGTCACACAGAAAGCCCATGCAACTGACACAGCTCCACAAGGCTCGCACTTCTCTGAAGCCCAATAGTGCCCCTCTGGACAATCTCCGCATGTGAGACCTTCTCGGTCTCCGAAGCATTCGCCTGGAGAACCACCCGGGCAAACGAGCTCCCCGGCACACTTGTAGGTGTCAAGCGGGGCGAGTGGATTGCCTTGGATGAGGCAAGTCAATCCACCAAGCTCACTCCAAAGGGTCACACAGTATGGTGGTCCCCTAAATAGATAGAAACGATGTCCAATACAGGTTGAAGGGGCCTTCACTTTTCCATATCTATTTGGAGGCCTACATATATATGTATATTGCAAAGAGCGCGGCCCGGTCACTCGCCAGCTTTTCGCTCGCAAGTTCGATCAGTCTCAAGGCCTTGTAAGTGGCGGCGGTATTCGAGCCGCTCAAATTACCCTTGGTGACCCTGTCATGTTCCATGGGACCACACAAGCAAAGGGAAGACATAAACCTCGCCATGCCTAGTCATCAACTCTACATTCCTCAACATTCTGTGCGGGTTTTCATGTCACGCGCGTCATTGTGTGAGCTGCTTGCCCCTGATGCTCGTGCCACAGCTTCTATGTTGATCTCATTGGCCAGATCATGCATCTGTTGAGCGATGATGCCCATGTTTCATTGTCACCATACACGCTTGCCGCTTCCCACATCACCGTCAGTAGGAAGTACTTCCGCTCTTTCATGGTCATCTTTTCCCAACTTTCTTGATTCATGCCGATGTTCTTCTTTGTCGCTACATCTGGCTCACTTCCATAGTCATCAATGAAACTGTCTTCCTACTCTTGTGGCTGTCGATGACTTTGGTGATCCTGTAATTGTGTTCTTCTGAGATGTCATCCATCTTCTGATAGGTGAACCTGTTGCTGTCCCCAATGAACGTTGACACCTTTCGGAAATCTTCATTGATGGCATGTCTCACGCCGTCCATGCCTGTCAGCATCACGTTGTTCTCTGCAAACATCTGCTGCATGCCAGTCAACTCCTGAGTCTTCTTTCGTTCTTGACCCAGAACATGGAAGATTGTTGTCGTCTTCTCACCAGGCCTTTTCACGATCATCACCATCATGATCTTCATTGCTCCCAACACCAATGACAAACATTCTGCATTCTGTGAAACTGTTGCCTTCATCCCAAGCACGACCACCAGCATTGTTGCCACTGAAACAAGGGCGCCTTGCTTATAATACAATGCGAGGTCTTCATACCACCGGAACACCTGGGTGTAGCGAGTTGCGTTGAACCATAGGAAGGATGTCAGAACAATGAGCACGCGCGCAAACATCAACTCCCAAGGAAACTGGGGCAGAATCGTCTTCACGTCCTGCTCGGGAGGAACTGCTGCGCCAATGACAATATCAGTACTGACTTCGCACTCGCTCCGGCACTTGTGGATGTTGAGGCTGTTGTGTTGGGGCTTTCTGAACTTTCATCTTCAAGTTCAACTGGCATCTTTTTGATGGCCTCCGCCTTCATGACTTTTCACCTTCTCAGGCTTTGGCTTTTCCTCCGGGCTTTCAAGCGTTCTGCTCCTTGATGTCTCTGGTAGTCTGGGATCTGGACCAAGTGTCCATTTGTTGGAGTAGAGAGCATCATGCAAATAAGCCAAGCCTTTGCGGTGGAGAGCCTTGAACTTGGTCAATGCATCTGCCAACTGTTGTTCTGATGGCGCCCATTTGCAGTCAACACCCCCTTGCAAACTTTGCCTGACGATTGCAGCCTCTAATGACAACCTGCGGTCCGAGAGCAGCACACGTTCAGACTTCATGCAATCAAAGAGGGATCTGCAATCTGTCACTGTGACACCAGGCACACGATGCAAATGCTCCTTGTAATGGCGCATGTCCAGCTCTCCACGCAACACTTCCAAGATGGTCGCCCTCAACCAACTGAGAGCATCCAGAGCCTCGGAACAGGAATAAGCCTCGGCACTCAAGGTTGACCGCACCACACGCTGTATCTTGGATGATGTCCAATGAACAAAGTGAATGTGATGCACTTGTGTTCTGTCCTTGATCAACTCCGGGGTTGAAATACCAAGCCAATATCCCTTCTGACTCTTATGACCTGGAAGATTGTTGAAGGATGCATCATGGACTGCAACCACTGTAATCTCTTCCGGTTGCCAGGCCATGCCTGGTCTGAAAATGAGCTCTTCCTCTTGATGAAATTGCTTGACCTCTCGCACCAGCTTTGCAGCATCTTTGAGACTTGACATCCTCAAGCCTTTGATCTCACTTACAAGCTTGCTGACATGGAAACCAATGGCATAGCCCATGATCCTGGCGTACCATTGCAACTGACCAAGTAGTCCTCGGAAAGCTTTGGTCTCACTGGAGGTCAAAGGTGCGTTGTTGTCTTTGCCACGTTCACGGCTGACCTTGTAGGTACTCATGTTCTCCACATACTCTTGGGCGTGGACATGAATTGCGCCGTCTTCATCTTGACGATATGACCTGCCACAGAACTTCAATGTTCCATCCGTCCTCCATTGTCTCCATTCAACTTCCTTCTGCATCTGCTCCTGCATCTTCTTGCATTCTTCCGGATACTTCCTTTCATCCCAAGCGATGAGGACATCGTCAAAATGTAGGGCCAAAATGGCTATCACCTCTTTGGAAGCTGGGTCACGAAGCACGAAACCGGCAAGCACAAATGTCAAACTTTCCCAGCCCAAGCGAAGGAGGAAACCTTTGATGGAATGGTACCATTGTCTTGCAGCATCATTCACACCATAGATGGACTTCTTGAGCTTGAGCAATGCACCTGGCCGTACTCCTGGGATCTGAGCTTTCCCAAGATTCTTCGGAGGTTCAAAGTACAGCTCTCTGTCAATCTTCAGCCCTTGTAGGAATGTACCTCTAACGTCGCCGCTGTCAACTTCATGAAACGTGATGAGGCCAAACTGCAAATGACTTGAACTAGCAAAGTTGAGCATGTCGGAGAGTCCCGCCGGAGATTTTCATCAAACTCTTCTTGGAAACCTCTGCCAACAACTCTGCACTTCAAGACAAGCTCTTCCTTTTCATGTTCATCTCTCTTTTCATCGTCCTTCTTCGTCCACACTCCTCGGGAGAGATCACCTTCTCCGGACTGTTCTTCCGGATTTGATTGCTCTCCTCTGGGGGCACAATGTCGATGGCATCGAAACGTTGCCATGTCCCGATCTCCTTCTCCACAGCTTTTTGCATTGCCTCCTCGATCTCCTTGTCTGAGAACTGCGGAAGCTGGGACTTCATCTTCTGTGGATTCAGCTCGGTGTGCCTGTTTCGTTTGGTGTAGGTGTCCAGCCGTTCAGCCAGAAAAGCTACACACATTGTTTCCTTCTCTTCTGGAACCATCTCAATTCCACCTGATGAGTCCACTTCCTTCTCATCAAGTTTTCTCCTCATCACTCCTCGAATGGATTCAGGAACGTCATTCAGAAGTAGGTCACGTTTCCTCTTGTGGTCTTCATCCATCATGGAACTTGAAGGCATACTTGAAGGCTCCTCTTGAGGAACAGATTGTTCCTCAACATTCTGTTGACTTTTGGACTCCTCAAGTCTGTTCTTTCTCTTCCTTCGCTTCTTACTTGAGCTCTCTTCTGGTCTCTTCGGCCTCCTCAACTTCTTAATGCCTTCCAAGTCATCATCTGCTGCTTCTGTTGTTTCTTCAGCTTCTCCTTCCTTCTTCCTCTTCTCATGCCCCTCAAACCTTCTCATTTCCATCACTTCACGAGATTCATCTCCACTGGATGTGCACTCATCTTGATATGTCCTTGCGATCTCGTCCTCATCCGGCTTAATTGGTTTCTCAGCTGCACCATCTTCATCGGGAGGTTCTGTTGGCGAATACTCACCCTCAATGGCTACATTCTCATCCTCCTCAAGGTCAATGGGATCTTGTGGCTTTGACAGACCTCCTGGCCGTGAGGGCACGACATCATCATCCTCTAGCATCAACTCCTGCTCTTCCGCTATTGCCCTTGTCAGATTGTGTGGATGCGCCAGGATGGGGGATCCACGGTGGATGAGCCAGTAACCTTGAAGATCTTTGCCAATGACCCGAGCTGGTCCATGCCACTGCTTGTACACTTTGCGCTTCAAGCCCTTCCTTTTGTACATCACTAGACTGTGCATATCGAAGGGACCTGGTTGTTGTCGGGTTTGCGACAGCAGTGCACGGCGAAGTGACGCTGAGTGATCGGCCTTGACGACGGCGTGTTCACAATCCTGGAGAAGCTTCATCCTCTGCGCCATTGCAAAATGATCTTCTTTGTCTGCTATTGGAAGTCTTCGTCCATCACTCATGATCTCTGGCAGGTTGGGCTGAAAACCAAGGACGCATTGCGCCGGTGAGAATCCTCTGAAGTTTGACAACCTGTTGATCGTCTGAGTGCATTGAATGACAGCTACCCTTGTCAATGTGGCACCGCGAACTTCACCGTCGTGCGCCAGCTTCAACATCATCTCCTTCACCGTGAGGACTTTCCTTTCCACCGTGCCATGCCACCAATGAGCATCTCTGGCTACAAGAACTTCTTCGACCCCATAGCGATCCAGTAAGTCACGGAAGTCGCCCCTCAAAGAACCATCTTGATCAAACTGCGCCTTCTCTGGACTTCCAAACACTTCCATCCAATCCATCAAAGATTTTCGGCACAGTGAGGATTGTGGCTTCTTGGGTCTCCAAGGGCTTTCACCTGAACACAAGTAAGATGCCATAGTGTAGTTTGTCGCCATGTCAACCATCATCAGGAAGGAGTGCATCACATCATCTTGATCTGGCATGTGTGCTATATCCATGGCCACACATTGAAATTGGTCGAAGTGGTTGTACTTGGGCACCGCAGCAATGGGTTTGGCTGGACTGCGTCTCTCTTTCTCACATGTAGGAGATGTGAACAGAGATGCCGCTTTGATGGCCCAGTCTGAGGCTCCTGACAGCTTTAAATGTCTGCTGAAGTTCTCCTTGTAGAGGGTGTGGGAGTATTGCCGATGCACTTTGGTAATGGCACTTCTCAGAAGAACTGGCACCTCCTCCCATGTTTGAAGCTCTTCTTCTTGTTGTCGGAACACCACATCTGAGCTTCTCTTGAGTGCATTGTGGAAAACATCAGCCTCCTCAAGATAGTACTTCACTTCACCACACTGTTCTTCCAGAAGT